TGGAATTTTGGAGTACTGTCTAATAAAGCTGTATTTTATTAAGATTTAATTTAGCAAAACTTTTATGGCCTGTTGGTCCGTGTGTTTAGGACTTTTGTATAAACTAAGACATTACGTTATTAACTAAGAATGCGAGATTCGTACTCTTCTAATTACAGTACGTGGTTTCGTTATATTGTTTAACACTTCATTAAGATATTTGATATAATGTGTTAATCTGATCACCTCTATACTAAAAGGAAAAAAAAAAGAAACTGAATAATCTAAAAGTAAAGAGTGAATAATACACGTGAAAAAAAAACAAATTGTATTGTCTATCATTTCATCGGCGACAAATATATGATAATATTTTTGGGGGAAATTAACATCAGTTTATTTGAATGTTTTTTATACTATTTTGTTAAAGATGTTTTGTACATACGTGTCATATTGTTTTAGATGTAATAAAAAACTAGTAAATTTGTTTAAGACTATGATTCGCTGCTGATGTTATTAAAAATGATAAAACGTATAAAAAAAATTATATATGGTTTCAAATTTGATTGTGCTATTTCTATTGTTTATCCTTAATTTTTTAAGTATATCACTTTATACTATTAAAAATATCAAATCTATACTATATGGTGTTTTTCTATTATTGGTTTCTGGTTTTAATTAGATTATTAATTTGAACGTATGTTATGTATTTTAAATATCAATTATATATTATTGGTTTCTGGTTTAATAAAATTATATATGGTTTCGTATATGAAGTATATCACTTTTTGATTATTAAAAAAAAAACTACTATAACCTTTCACTCTTTTTCAAAATTTGCAGTTTAATCTGTTCACACTATTTCAGTTTTGTTGAAAGACTTAAATCTTTGTTGTGTATAGGGAAAAGATAAAGCATTTTCCTTACTAAGATTCAATTTCTTGGACTTGTTTGCGACATTCTTGACCATATAACATTGTTAATTGCGGCCAAAATTCATATACTATTATTTAAAAAAGTCTAAATAATTTTTTTATATAAGACAAATACGTGTATACATGAATACATGGATGTATGTGAGCGTGTGGGTGTGTGGTTCTAGCTGGTTCCTTTGGATTTGTGCCTACTAATGATGCCCACAAATATTCTTTGGCACATTGTTTATTGTTTCACAATTTGGCCTAATCACATAACTTATGAAAACCAAGTACACTTTATTACCTCTCCTTTTTTTTAATTTAATTATATTTAATTAATCAGATTATGATATCGACCAACCAATCATAATTAGAGTTCAAAACTCACAAGTTTTGGAAGAAAAAGATTAATATCAGATGTTAAGTGGCGACGTGTCAGATATGCTCAATGTATTGGCTACCATAGTTTTTCTTTATAAAAATAGTATTATTTGGACTTTCTAAAAGTTCTTTACAGTTTCCCGTTTCGACTTACCCCAAAATGGGGACCGATAACAGAAGCTGAGCTTTGATGTACTTTTCCAAAACCTATCTGTAGAGTTCTCTGCTAATGAATTAACGTTATAGTATATAGATCGTTGGGAGTTTTCACGTTGGGTTTGCTTTTTTTTTTTTTGTTGTTGTTGTTGTTAGAATTCACATAGTGTTTTTAATTTTAAAGAAATGTTAGGACCGGTCTAAACATATATATCATATAAGGAATGATGCAAGCATTATTTGCATGTAACTACAAATGTATATATATTTTGAGTGAAAAAAAACGTTTTACAATCTCATTCACAACCATTGGTGGATTATCACTAATTCTATTCTTTAAGCATTTAATCGAAATACAATATTATGGACATAGTTCTCTACAATCATTTTTCGCATGTAATAATTTGGCGTCACATTTTTTTTCGAACAACTATTTGACCTTACATATAAGTTCTAGATTAATATATATATACATATTTCGAAATTTTTAAAACTTGCAAAAATAATTTCAAATTGACAAGTTAAAGTATTTTATTTTCACTTAGGGAAAACTTAATTGTGTTGTTTTGTAGACGATTTTTAAAATATTAAGATGTGGTTTCCTAAAAGAAAGACATGTGTGGAGCTAAGACGAATTGTTTCTACATATTGATTTACTTTATAGTGGAACACGTGATGTTCGTGCCACCAATAAATCATCTTTTAGTTGCAATAATGTTTAGTAATCTTCTTGTCAAGTTAAAAGTCATCTACGCATAATGTATATATTCCTATTTGTACTTTGTGGCAATGGTGAATGAGAATTTACAAATACATTACAGAGACCATACCTTTCGTCATACAGTGCGTCACCGTACATTTCGAATCCATGGTATCCAGAATGGATTTGTATCTTTTCGTAAGCAGGATTTGATAAAACCGCATGTTATGTCATCTTCAACGTTGAGCTCGATAAGTAGAATTAGTTGATATACAATTAGCTAGTTGACAAGTTGATGCATAGTATTAATTAGTTCGGCGTCGTTTAGTAGTAGGTTGAGTTTTACATTGTAGTGCACAAAAAAAAAAGTGGATTAAATGATAGTTAATACACTACAGCAATTAGTGTAGCTGCTTTGAGCGTGGGGTGTGTTTTAGAGGGTGGTCCTATGTTTAATAATGTCGATTAATCTCATAATTTGTGTATTACGTTATACGTACGTTTGTTGAAATAATTCATGCTATATATAAAAAGAAAGAGTCATTCATACTAATGAAAAATATCAAAATTTGACGAAAAAAAAACGATAAGCAATATCAATATTTGTAAAACATTTACTATAGGACGACACAGTAATAAGAAACAATTGGAGCTCTCAGATAGCTAGAGATAACAAAATATCAAGAGATTTCTTACGTAATTATTAACCTAGCCATTATCTAGGTCACTGTATAATCGGATGGCATATGAGATATGCATTTACTTGCAGTTCTTTTAGCATTTGATTTAATGGATTTCTAACTCACATCCTCAAACATTGTGATGTATATATATTTTTAAAATCCTGTGGGCAGGCGGAGGTGTGTGTATACGTAAATATAATGCATACAGCATACATATGTCAGAAATTCGAGTAGTCATCCAAATGATCAAATCGTGGATGAAGAAGGCTTGAGAGCTTTCAAGTACTTAAGTGAGATTATACCAAAGTTCACTATTATATCTAAGTTACACATATCAACTTGTCTTTTTGATATTTACAAACTTTGAAAAAAAAAATATCGACAGGACGTGTGATACGTAGACATTTCCACTTTTGTCTTCTGATACATAATCAACGTACTTAACCAAATTAAGATAATTATATTACACGCTCGATATCAAAGTATATAATCGGTTTACTTCAATGTTAATATATTATCGGTTTACCTCTTAAGAACCTTCGATGGACAAAAGATTTCTGATAAAAAAAGATCTCTTCCATGCATAAGCTTTTGGAACTCTTTTAGTTCTATGATACACATGCAGCTCAAAATCTAAAACTTGATGAATGATGACCTTAAAACTTTGCACAAAAAAAAAAAAAGAAGATGACCATAAAACAACATATATGTCGTGGCTCTTGGGTAAAATGAATTAGGACTCTTATGGTCAAATAAGAACTGGAAGAAATAAGGGAGTGGAAAGGAAAAAAAAAAAAAAAAAGTAAAGTGGGAAATATATTAATTATTTTGCAACTTGTTTGAAATGAATAAATTAGGAAACCCAAGCGAAACAAAAAAAAGAAATAAATAAACTAATTATTTGACACAAAGTATTCAAATTTCAATGTAAATCAGAAAACGGAAACAGAGTTATTTACGCACAGAGTGGAAAGTCAGCGGGTCAACTTTTGAAACTCAGTGCTTAATTGAAGTGCTAAGTGATAATTATCTCAACTCTTCTTCATTAATTAATTATTGATATTCCTGCCCGAGTCCTTTAATTATTTACTGATATTTTAATTTTATTTGGACGGCATCTTTTTCTACTTATGGACTTCTATAGTACTTTCATCTGGTTCCATTTTTGTACTTTTGTTATACCGTTTAGACTATTAATTATAATATATAGATTTTAATATAGTTCTGAAATGTTACTTATTTGTATCACATTTTCGCTTTTATATTTTAAATATTTTGAAATTATTAATCAATACTATTTTCGTTGTTTTTTTTTTTGTGTGGGATTTTCGTTGTTTAAATTAAGAGACATTTCATATATTAAAATATATAGAAACAACAAATTAAATCATACAAAAAAGAGTTTACATATAACATTAATCTTATATACTACATCCAGATGATGTTTTGTGATTACAAAAATTTTTGGCCACAAACAGTGGTCTAGTAGTTCGACCAAAATTTGTATTTTAATGATGTATATTTAATATCGATATTGTGCCAAATTCCAAAATATGCATGTATGGATTATTTATAAACAACAACAAACAATAATAGCGGGACGTTGGTTCTTTTAAAAATATATTGCTACGAATAAATGTAGTTTTCTGAGCCTTGTTTTTGGCTTAGTAGTGATCCTAAACATATTCATGCAAATCAATTTTTTTTTCTTTTTCATGTTTAGTTAAAAAGGAATTAATGGACTCAATGCATCATTTTTAAGATGTGATATATGTTATTTAATCAATTCAATTGGTTTAATGGTTAAAAATGTTATCATATGTTTGGAGACAATATAATTTGAAGTCAAAAACTTCCTCTCCCATAAGAGAATAATTGTTTATCACAAGTGGACTACTCATATTCGATTGTTTTTTTTAAAAATATATATACCTTCACGAATTTTAAAAGTTAAAGAAAGAAAAACACTTAAGGAAAAAAGAAGCTTACAAACAGATAATTAAATCAATAAACATACAGTTCCTATATTACGGCTGTCTATACACTTCTTCGCACATGTTCCATATAAATTTTATTTTTTTAAATGAAAAGAAAAAATTGAAAACTATCATCTTTTTTCTCCCTTCTATAAAACCCACAACTTCTCTTTTTCTTGTGCATTCAAAACTCATCCTTTCTCTATCTACACATAACTCCAAAAAAAAAACAAAACACAATTCTCTCTCTATCTATATATCTCTCTTTCTTCGCAGAACCACATAGCTAGAAAAAAGAGTCTCGAATCTTTTTGCTGAATAATCTCTTTTCGTGGGTCTCTTCTGTGTGTATCTATGGAAGACAAAGGAAGAAGCTTGAAGAACAACAACATGGAAGACGAAATGGACCTAAAGAGAGGTCCCTGGACAGCTGAAGAAGATTTTAAGCTCATGAATTACATTGCTACTAATGGAGAAGGTCGATGGAACTCTCTTTCTCGTTGCGCTGGTATGATCATATTTTATTTTCTTTCCTTCATATATATATATATATATATATATATAAGTTCCACTTCCATGAGCATCTTTTAAGCATAAAAGAGCCAAAGAACAAGTCGCATAACATAATTGATTTTGTTGCTTTTTTGTTCAATCCTTTTCATGTTTCAATCACCATGTGTGATTGTGTTTTTTTCTTTTAAATCGCCCAACCTTTACTACTTTCAAAGATAGTTTTTAGACAAAATAATAATCCGAAAATGGTTTCTTTCCCTATATGTATAGATGAAAAGACCGTTCATAGGTATGAATCAAAAAGTGCAAACCTCTCATGTTTTCTCTTTCTCGTCTTCTTCGTATTTTCTAAGTATAATTTTCATTACGAATAAATGAAAAAGTATTGATGCATGATTTGAGTGAGAGAGAGAGAGAGATCTTTTTCGTAATGGATTCAATTATTAACCATCTCAAATTTGAATAAAATATATATCCAAATTTGGTTATTCGATGGGTGAAAATAAAAGAAAGAACTAATGCGAATTAATGATCATCATCTATAAGGGAAGAGCACTAACTCAATGGGAGAAAGCTTGCTGAAGATAAAGACCCTTTAGGACAATTTGCATCATAGTTTATATATACGGTTCATTTTATTTCGTTGGGAGGAGAATTTATTTGTTTGCTATAACTTTACCTGAAAATGAAACAATTATTATAATGAGTTTCTTCCGTATAAAATCATCATACTATATACGTCGACCGGTAAATTAATAATCATCTAATGTACTTTTACCGATGAAACAGGACTCCAACGCACCGGTAAAAGCTGTAGACTGCGGTGGTTGAACTATCTCCGCCCTGACGTCCGCCGTGGAAACATTACACTCGAAGAACAACTCTTGATCCTCGAACTTCATTCCCGTTGGGGCAATAGGTATGCGCATGTTTCACAAAAGAAAAAAGAAAGAGAATATATATATATCATCTATTAAAATAATATCTTTATCCAAATAAAAATTACACAATATTATTTTTTTACTAGTTGATGATTTTTATGTAAATGGATCAAATTTGATTTTTTTTTTACATATAATTTTGCATCAGACCTATAATAGAATATAGGGGAAATATATCAAATCATGTCGATGTTGATGGACAAAAGAAACCAAATATGTGATACTGAGATATATACTAATCAATAATACTGTCATAGACGACAAGTAAATAAGAATTTGACTATCACTATGATTTGCTTAATAAGAGCCGTTAAATTAATCTCATGTTTTATTGGTGAATTTAGATGGTCAAAAATCGCACAATATTTACCGGGAAGAACGGACAACGAGATAAAAAACTACTGGAGAACAAGGGTGCAAAAACATGCGAAACAGTTGAAATGTGATGTGAACAGCCAACAGTTCAAAGACACGATGAAGTACTTATGGATGCCTCGGCTAGTCGAGAGGATCCAATCCGCCTCGGCCACAGCCTCAGCCGCCACCACAACCACGGGATCAGCCGGCACGTCATCTTGCATCACAACCTCTAACAATCATCAGTTCATGAATTACGACTACAACAACAACAACAACAGCATGGGACAACAGTTTGGTGTCATGAGCAACAACGATTACATCACGCCGGAGAACTCCAGCGTGGCAGTGTCTCCGGTTTCAGACTTGACGGAGTACTACAGCGCTCCAAACCCGAACCCGAACCCGGAATACTATTCGGGTCAAATGGGGAATAGTTATTATCCGGATCAGAATATGGTTGGTCCACAGTTATTACCGGAGAATTATTTCGACTACAGTGGATTATTGGACGAAGATCTAACGGCTATGCAAGAGCAGAGTAACCTCAACTGGTTTGAAAACATTAATGGTGCTGCTTCCTCTTCAGACAGTTTATGGAATATCGGCGAAAGTGATGAAGACTTCTGGTTCTTACAGCAACAACAGCTCAACAATAATGGTAGCTTCTGATGATTGAATATATAAAAAAAAAGATTAGAAAATTACTCGTTTTAAGTTAATTAATTAATTATACACTAAAGTATACGTGTGAAAGGAATTTGTTTTAAGGGAATAACTACAGACAAAGAATGTGTTTACGATCTAGTATTCTATTAGGATATATGAGATCAGCTTTTTTATTCCAAGCTTGATCATATATCATTGGCGTTTTAAACAAAGCGCTAAAATTTGATTTGTTTTGTGTTTTGTTTCGTTTATTGGGGATTTGTAATGATATTTTGTGGATAATTCATAAAACTTGGATGAAAAAATAAAAATTTATTGTTGAATTGTTAAGAAAATATCACTCATTCGTCGTCGGTGGGAGCTAGTGTACAATAAACATAAATAATTGAACTCGTTTTCACACTATATAAGATAGATTGAGTGATTTCCTCAATGGAAGCATAGTATAAATCATTATTCATTTAACTATTAATATTTTAACGACGAAGCTCTCATAATTGGTTCCACCATGTTTAATATTTAACCCAAGATATGACAAACAAACAAAAGAATTATTTTTAAAAAGATATATAATAATGACTTTGGTACTATAAAACGGATAATCCAAGTGATATTACTTTTTACGAATATGTCTATGGAGCATGTATATGGAAAAAAAGAAATGAACTTAGTGTGTGTGTGTGTGAAAGCCTTTCTTTAGGTTCAAAAGAAAACATATAACAAATGGTCGTCATATTAGGGAGTCACGTGGCAAGGTCTGGTTGGTTCTAATCTAGGCTTTGAGTTTAAGGTGGCCATTAAGGGGTTTATTCATTGAAAAGTGATTTGTTTGTTAATATATATGCTAAGTGATGATAACCCACCACTAATATGTCCAAAAAGCCTTTAGTTAATTATTGAAAACGCATTATTTGTACGGACCGTTACACCATTATCTAGACCGTGTCGTTACTCGGTAACACGTCAGCAACACCTCCTATGTTCTCTCACTCGGTTACGATAAAAAAAAAAAAAAAACTCAGTTTAGAAAATAATAACACTAGGATCCCCAATATGAGTGGCATGGTTTAGTTTTAGAGCCTGAGCTGAATCGATTCACATGTATTTTTAAAATTTTAAAATAAAAAATAAAGAAGAGAATATTATCACAGAGAAAACGTTATTGGAGCATATTGAAAAGAAAAAAAAAGAAGAAGCTAGTTAGCTATCAGTTAAGCCACGCAAGATACCTAATTGGTTTTAGTTGTACGTAGTTATAATTATAATTATGGAGTTTTGTTATTTAACTCATATGTCGCTTTTAGCTTTAGCATATAGAATTGCAGTAATTATCTACACAGCTCTTATTTAAAAGCTAAATAAACGCTTATAAAAAACGAAATCTAAACAAAAAGAACTTTTGGGCATAAATCTAAATGAAGAATTTGAATAGAATCTGTATAATGAGTTTTTTTTTGTATGAGTAGGATATTAAAACAACAACCAAAATATGATTAGACGAATAAATTAATTTTATTAAAAGTTAAAAGAAAAGTAAAGGATTTGCTCGCATCATTCATGGTGTTAATTAAACAACTGCATCCATCCTGAAGATATTGTAACATACAAAATTTTCTGTGAATGTTGTAATAAAAATAGATGAAATATAATAAACATGATTGATACAATGACGAGTGACTCATTCAAATATTTTAGATGAAATACAAATCGACACTAAATATTCTAATACAGTATATGTGTTTTTTTTATTAATTACAGATTTTTAGTTCTCTTGTCTCTTTTTCTTTTGGCAGTCCATTCATAATTGCAAAGCCGTCAAGAAAACTGTATCTGAAAGTCGTTTTCATTTTCTGTATACCAACTTGATCCTTTAAGCAACAGTACTGCTTTCCTCGTTTTTTCTCATCGAGTAGAGGAGGAGAGACTATATATCTTCGTCCAAGTGCTTGCATACATAACACAAGATATACATTAATTATATGCCGCACATCTTATGGAATTGGCACGTGACCTAGAAGATAAAAGGCACGTGGTTAAATAGTGAATGTGATCATGGAAGACTTAAAAGAGATGGCGGCGGCTGAAAAAGATCATGCATATAGAGAGAGGCGGTGTGGGCAGCAAGCAAGCCGACGCCTAAAAGCCATCTCTCAAGACCCAGAGTGGTCCCAAAATACGAACATCTCTTTCCTCACCAATATCTTTTGATTAGGAACCTCATTCAAATACAGTTCAAGATCCTACCAAGAATTATTCTGATCGTTAATTATCTCATCTAAAAGATTTAAGTAGTTTTATGGAAAGCCACTTGTTAATTTTACCAAATAGTAAAAACTAGTTAACCTACCACTTTACGTTTCGAAACTAAATGTTTACGTCAGTTAAGTTCGACCCGTCCTTCATAAAGTTGGAACGTATATGGGTAATATGAACTTTTTCCCTTTTTCAGCATATATTTACTTATTTAGTCAATATTATAACATTAAAGAATGACTTAACTCTCAATATTAATTGTCATTTTATTCACTGTCGGTTGGTTTTAAATTCAAATTTCATGCATATACTTATATGCCAACAATGAGACTTAATCTAATTAGACGAATGTGTATGTATATGTGCTCATAGTTATGGTCATATATATGGCTGACATTTTTTCTCTGGTCGCTGTTGCGAACTTTATGGTAATTAGATTCTACTACTAGCTATAGCTGGTGGTAAATACATAAAAATAAACTCAACAATATTTATGTAAAGGTGCAACGGTGCAAGCTGGATTCTTTTTTATTCACACGTGGAAATGTAATCTCTTCCGGTGAGAAAAAAAATAACACTTCAAAAACCAAACTTTTGGGTTAATGAACGGTTTATTCGGAAAAGACAGAACAGATAGAGAAACAGAAAACAGATTCAGATACATGGGACTAAGCGTGCGCCACATGGCGTCCGATGATTCGATGAGGTTGATAACATTCCATTGTTGGGGAAGAGGAGGAGCACAAAGAAGAAGAGACTCCTTTGAATGGTCAAGGTCAACCGCGTCCAGAGACTTAACACGTCGGCGTCAACGTATCTTTCCTTTGGGTCCATAACCTTTTCTTTTAGTTCAATACATTTTAACAAATACCATTATCCTAATCCTAAAAACCTGCGAAGTACATTGTATTTGGAAATTTTCACTTTCTTTTTGGTCTTTCTACATAGAGAATATGCTATTAGTATTTTCAAATACGACAGTAGTATACGAACATACTTAAATATTCTTACGGGATTGAATGATTGATCATTCCATTTTATATACTGACGCATGCAGAACCAGTATATATATAGTGTGGAAATGTTTTTAATATATATATATATATATATATATATATGTATTTTGATTAAAGGTTTAAGTAATATTCATGCATGCATATAGTTTGGTCTGGTCGACTGGTCGTTATGGGGGAAAACCTATAATTTCCTACGTCAAAAATAAAATAAAAACTTAATTTGTTACGGAAATATAGTTGAATCTTTACTACTGTAATTGTAAAGATTCATAGACGCACATTCTTTATAATTATAATAAGGTAACGGGAGTATAATTAATAGAAACCACTACATACTAACTTAGTCTTAAATCTTAATCAATTGCTTTAGCTTTTATATGTGGTTTTCCTTTTCTTTTTATAGACACAGAGCATTTCAGCCACAAAAAGTCTTTAAGCACTTGCGAAGAAAAACCATGCTAATCACGTGATAATTAATACGAAAACACATCAATTGGATTAGCGCTTTATTAGGGAGTCCATAACACTGGATCGAAACGCAACCCCAATATTAATCCAAATTAACGAATACCCAAATCGTAGTAATTGATACGACACATGAATGTTCGGTTTTATTGAAACTTCGTATTATTGCTAAACTAGGAAAAATATTGATTTTTTCGGTTTCCGTGGTATCTTTGGAGTTTGGACAAGGGGTTTATGTTTTGTCTGTCCGGTCGTAAGTTGATAGATACCTGCCTTGAAATTTGCCATACCTTAGTAACTACTTGTTTGTTTGTCTGTCTGTCTTTTGTGGTTAGAGCATCTCTAATGGTGAGGGTGCTTACACATTTTTTTACATTAATTTTTATAAAATAAATTCATAAGCAACTTTATCTTGATGTTAAAAATATTGGTGATCCAATGGTATGAATCTTAATGAAGTGTTTAAAACAAAAACAAAATTTATTCTTCAGTTGGATCTTCGATTGAGCTGCTCTTATAAACCCTCTTGGACCAAACCACACATTGATTCTTCAGTTGGATCTTCGATTGAGTCAACATTTCGGATCCGATCTTGAAGTTTTATCACCACCGATTAAACCATCGGTCAAGAGAGAAAATGATTACGAAGATAAGAGAAGAAAATAACACGTATACCCCTCTCAAATTACCAGAAACTGATTCGTTTTCCATGCTTTCTTCATCCATGGAGAGAAAGAGAGAGAAACTAGGGAGAGAGAGACTCCGGATAAAGAGAGAGAGAAAGTTTAGAATTTTTTTTTTCTATTTTCCTTCCACCCAATAAAAATTTGACACCTATGCATCGCTTATCTGTTGCTTAAACTCCCAAATTAAACAACAATCCTTGCAATTTTATCAATGTTATGCATTTTATTCTATACATACATTCTTAAGCTATTGAACAAGCACATATTAAACACCTCCATTGGAGGTGGTCTTATCTTTCTAATTTTTTTGAAACAGTACATTTAAACATTTTCGTTTAAAAACCAATTAAAAGTATATGGTAATTCTCTAGAGTTATTAGTTTTATATTTATACGGATGGTACGGTTTGTGAGATTTAATAATGAAGCTATGATAGTTAGCGTAAGTATTGAGATGCTCCATGGTATTAAAACATATTACTATACGTAAGTATTATCATATATGTTTATAATAGATAAAACGTTTTATGCTTCAATATATTGAAATATCTTCTTTTTATACATATTTAAACTTTCATGTACATAGTACTAGTTGCGAGATTGTGAATCGATCACTAAGTTAGAAAAAAACCCTTCCCATCATTAAGAATGCAATTTTATATATTCATCTTTTCTAAAACAACAATATGGGATTGTGGATAAGATCGTATAAGCTAATATCAATAGGATAAACTGAAGCACGCACGTTTTATAATGACATGCTCCAATCCCTTTCTAGGTTATTCAAAAGCAAACGTTTAGTATTAAACCCACATGCTTCGATCCTCGTGGTTAGGCATCTAATATGAACACT